TTACAAATTAACAAATACATATATATTTACTCCTTCAAACGTCAATGACCTTGACAAATGTTGTCAAGATCACTATCCTGAGTATCCTCCAAAAGATTTTAAGCGATGCTCTTTTTTATTACAAAGTTATTAACAAAAAAGTTTATTAAATACAACTAATTAGTAACAAATAATTTTCTGACATTAATACTAAAAGAAGTACACACACACAATACTGTGACACAACACAGATCACGCTTCGCTCAAAAAGTTGCAAACTTATGTGAAACTGTAATTATAAACCTTGTTTCGCATCCGAAGCATACAACGATATCGGCTGAACTTCGCTTCTCACAGAAAGTTGCTAACCCATGTGAAACAAAAAATGTACAAAAATTATATTAAACAAGTAGAGTTGTGCATATTCATATAAAAAAATTTAATCCGATATCTCAAATTTTCCGAAAATTATAGCGTGTACAGATATTTCTTAAAAAATTCAAAATTTTATAAAAAATAAACCCTTTTACCGATACTCACTGAATTCAGTAGTAACCATCCTTTAATAATACTTTACCCATGTAAAAAAATTTAATCTGATATCTCAAAATTCGCGAAAGTTACAATGTATACAGACATTTTTCAAAAAATTAAAAATTTTATAAAACATTTTTTAGGAATATGATTTTTCGACGTTTTGGAACATTTTAAACACATTGGCATAGAAAACTCGAAAAAAAATTTTGTCACGAAAACAGAGCTTCCTCTATGAGGAAGCAAAATACAAAAAAAGAATACAAAAATACAAAAAAAAATACAAAAAATACAAAAATACAAGAAATAAATAATAAAAAATACAAAAAAACTCATGGAACTAAATACTTGCCACGTCCTCGTCGTTAATTCCGGGTAACCCACTGCGTCCACGCATATACTTTACAACGCGAAGTGAGGTCCACCTCACAATTGTTGTATGGGTGGGAAAGTGTATGTGTGGACGCAGTCCACGGGTTCCGCTCGCCCCCCCCCCTACGGAGGGCCACCACTTCCAGAAGATATAACCTAACCCAAATCAGATTTTAATTTTAAATTAGAAATAGGTTTGAGTTAAGTTATATCTTTCAGAAGTGGAGCGCCTCGTAGGAGAGGGGGGAGGCGGAATTCACTGCACCCCCCCCCAAATCTAATCCAACTCAAGCTATGTCCCAAAATTAAATTATTACTTATAATAATAAAAATCGAAAACATAATTTGCTGTGGCTCAAACTTTGTATTTCACCTCTTTTCAACCTCTACTTTATATATACAAAACCTCGATTTTTAAATCGATGTGTCACTTTCGTAAGAACAGCTGAAAAACGCCTCCAACTCATAAGGGGACATCATTTGAAATTTTGATTTGTTAAAAGATTCTAATTATCCAATGGAGAGACAGTGCAAAAACTCTAACATACGCGAGAACGTCCTTCGGAACTAACTACGTAAACTTACTAACATAAATTTTTAAATGCACATTGATTAATTGAATTTAACAATAATATGTTTGCGCAAGGATACAAGGGATACAGGAATTAAAATATGTTGTCTCACACATTTTGCAAATGAAATTTATAATCAATATAATATAAAATGTCAGTTTTATAAATTAATCAGTTTAAAAAAATATCTTTAAATTAATCGCGCATATTTTTCACAAAAGAAAGAAGAAAATCTTTAGTTAAAAAAAATTTTTTTTTTATCTGAAATTTTAAGTTATCTTTAGGTAAATATTTATAAAATTGAGAAATTGACCGTAAGAAAGGAAAGCTAGATTTACGACAGGATTAGAAAAAAATCACTATCAAAAGCCGCCAATCAGAGAAATTTCATTATTATATAAAATACACAATACTATAATACTATAAAATACTTTACTTAACATATGGAAGCGACGACTTAATAATAATAATCTTTTCGCACATCTGTCCTTTTTTTTCTTTCTCTTCTCGATGTCTTTTGCTCTAATTGTAAGTAGGACGCAAATTACTGACATACCGCCGAGTACATAAACAAAGACGCATCGCAATTTTTTACAATACATTTTACCGATGATCTTGATTTTGATATACGTATATTGAAAAGAGTAAAAGTCCAAAATGTGTGTATTTTGAACCAAGTGCGAATCACATTTTTCTGGTTGTTGAAATATAGCGTTTGCACTTAATTATATTCATAAGGAATTTTTTTTATCCTTCTTATCAAGTATATTTGCATTATATTTTTTCGTTTATGTATATTAATTTTTTTAGAAGCATTATACCATTAATATTTAGTTTAGCTTGGAATTTTAAAATAAACTAAATAATGCAATGCTTTAAACATTTTTGGTTGTTGAAGAAGAAACAGATAACACAAGTAATGAAAGCAAATGTCTGTCTTCTTCTAATTCAATGGTATGCAATTAAATGTGTGATATAAACAGGGTTGGGAACGTTACTCTATAAAAGTAACGCGTTACCGTTACCGTTATTTTTTTTGTAAAAAGTAACTTGTTACCGTTACTCGTTACTGATTTTAAAAAGTATCGCGTTACCGTTACCGTTACTTGGAAAGTAACGATTCGTTACTTTCTCGTTATGTTTTTGTTTTTTGTAATGCTAAAATCAGCTACTAGATTAGAAAATTATTTAATAATCAATATTAAATGTAATAATCTATGTTACAATTAAAAACTCTAAATTAGTCTCTATATAGCAAGCGTTTTTTATATTAAACTTATTTAATGATTCTAATTTTTTATGTTAATATCTTTACTTTTTAATACACTTATCTTTATAGGAATTTAAATTGTAATTTACAAATTTCAATTTTGTCGAAAATTTTTATCAAACATTGTTTTTAAATATTGATAAGAGAAATATTGATATTATTAAGATGTATTCCAATATTCACTGCCACTATTGTAAAATCTATAATTTACATTACTATAGATTTTCGGTACTGGCAGTGACTATCAGAATGCAGCCTATGATAGAAGGCTACATCTATGTTACAATTAAAAACTCTAAATTAGTCTCTATATAGCAAGCGTTTTTTATATTAAACTTATTTAATGATTCTAATTTTTTATGTTAATATCTTTACTTTTTAATACACTTATCTTTATAGGAATTTAAATTGTAATTTACAAATTCCAATTTTGTCGAAAATTTTTATCAAACATTGTTTTTAAATATTGATAAGAGAAATATTGGTATTATTAAGAGTGTATTCCAATATTCACTGCCACTATTGTAAAATCTATAATTTACGTTACTATAGATTTTCGGTACTGGCAGTGACTATCAGAATGCAGCCTATGATAAAAGGCTACAAAATATTTTTCAAAAAATACATCTATCTATTGAATAGATATAAGATAATAAAGAACCAAAAAATAACAATAAAAGTAATGGCTAATTCGTTACCGTTACTGTAAAAATGTAACGACGTTACCGTTACCGTTACAAACAGAAAAAAGTAACGATCGTTACCGAAAAAAGTAACTGTAACGGTAACGACGTTATAAATAACGCGTTACTTCCCAACCCTGGATATAAAATATAATAAAATAAAAATTTACATATTTAAAGACATACCAAGTTGTTTAGTTAGAGTTGCATTTATGTATTATACGACCCAAGTTTACCTGTAACAATAGAGAAAATTATTAGTATTATTAAAATTAAAAAACAAAGTGTTTATAAATTCAAGATAATTTAATATATAATGAAATATATATATAATTAAAACTAAGAGAATGTAAAATGTTTCTTAAATACATATTAATTTATTATTGTTGGTACAACATAAAAAATAGATAGATAGATAGATAGATAGAGAGAAAGAGAGAGAAAGATCCTACATAAAAAAATAAAATAAAAATAAAATTCATTATATAAATTCTTATTCTTTTCGTTACATAAATTCTTTATTACAAAAAATCTCAATAAAAGAGGAATGCAAACATTAACAAAAATTGTTTAGGTTACATTCAAGATGATTATTTCTTAGCTTCACTTTGTATAAATAAGTTGGACGTCCCAAAATTAAAAAATAATAAAATTGTAACACAGCAGTTCGTGAAAAATAAAATAATGAAAGTGCATTCCATTCCTTATAACAAGAAGTATTTTTTTTTAAATATAAAAGTGTGTTTAAAGTTTGACTCTCTCTCTCTCTCCCCCCTCTCCCTCTCCCTCGCCCTCTTCCTCTCCCTCGCCCTCTTCCTCTCCGTCGCCCTATTCCTAGGGATGAATCGATACAAGTAAATATGAGTACATACTCGATACTTTCGTCCCGATACCAAATACTTTTAGCATCGATACTTTTGGTTGCGATACCTACTCGGTATCGGAAAAAAGTACTCGTATCAAATCGAGCGAGTATCGATACGCGGCATTGCTGCTACGCAGGGTCTAAAGCCCGTATCAGACTACGCATTGAAAATTGAAGATTGAAGATTAAAGATTGGAATTTGACTAATCAGAACAAAAGGGACTAAAATTTCTTTATCCTGATTGGTCAAATTTCAATCTTGAATCTTGAGTCTAATACGGGCTTAATCATAGGCCGGTATTCATAGTCAGTTCTTATATTTAAGACCGTCTTAAGCACAATCTTAAGATGTCCTAAACCAATCACAGAGCCGTATTAGCATCTTAAGACATTACTCAAGACGGTCTTGAAATAAGAACTGACTATGAATACCGGCCATAGATATATAGATTCTATATGTCGATGGTCTAATCTCCCCAACATAGGTTTATTATTTCTAAGTCTGTTTGACTCTTGATGTGTAGACAGAAACAATGGCCGAAAGAAGTTTTCTGGGAGTAACAGTGCATTTCTTTCGAGGGCATAAAAACAGTTAACTGTAATATTGCTACCAGGGATCTGAATGAAAGACATACCGCTAAATATCTTTCAAAAATACTGCTAACTGTACTGAAAGAATGAAACATTCCGATTCCAAAAATAAGATGTATTGTCACGGAGCAAACATGATCGCTGCTGTAAATTTAGTGGTTACGCAAAAAAATCATTTGCCATGTTTTCCACATACTATTAATTTGGTGGTTGAAGCGGGGTTGAAAAAATATGTCATCAAAACTGTAATATCGAAAGTGAGAGCAATTGTAAAATGGGTAAAAAATAGCGTGATCAATTCGGACAAATTGAGAAAAATTCAAATGCGCAATGGAGTTTCAGAAGGATCGACAAAAAAGCTTATATTAGACGTAAGCACGAGATGGAACTCGGTATACTACATGCTCGAGCGTTTTGTAGAGCTGACGAAAGTTTGTTCTGAGCTTTTACTCGAAGATTACGCAAGTCCCGAAATGCCCACGGCATCTGAAATTGAAATAATAAAACAGTTAAGTTCTTTATTAAAACCATTCGAATTTGTCACTAAAGAATCTTCGGGGGAAGCGTATATTACTTTATCGAAAGTTATACCAATGGTAACTGTTTGAAAACCGAACTTTCAAAATTCGTTTCAAAATTTGATTGTATCAATGAGGTTCAAAAAATTTTCGAGGTAGAGCCAATAGGAGGTTCGGTAACATTGAATATAATACACATGCAGCAATTGCAACATTGCTTGATCCACGATTCAAAAACATCCATTTTCAAAATGGTATAGCATGTTCGAAAGCCATTCAAAAACTCAGAGATTTAATAAAACAAGATAATTATAATACGAGCAGCGAGTCGGAAACGGAAGAAATCTCTAGTGGGAAAACTGATTACGACTTTTGGCATCACCATCTAGAATTGGTCATGAGTCAGAAACGACGAAAAACTGATAAAGGTGACCAATTGTCAATGTACCTGTCCTAGCCGATTTCATCATTAAGATCATCTCCTCTAGAGGAATGGGAGGATATGAAAACCATGTTTCCATCATTATTTAAGCAAGCACGAATATTTTTGCTGGTTGTAGCTTCGTCCGTTCCATGTGAAAGACTATTTTCAAAAGCGGGAGCCACAATAACCAAAAGCAGAAATCGCCTTTCTGGAAAAAATCTTGAAAAACTGTTGTTTTTAGAGAACGTTCCTAAGAAACTGTTCTTCAGTTAATATTTCTTCGAGTTGTCGATTCATATAAATATATTTTAATACATATAAATATGTATTAGGATTTACGGTTTTATAACATAGAAATATATTGATAAAAATAAAAAACAACTTTTTTAAAATAAATAAAATAGTGTGAGCATATTCTGGAGTGTTTATTTTTTCAACATTTCTTCTTTACGGAAGCTTTTGATCGATATTGATAAAAAAAATTGTATTTGTCTTTTTTTTATGATTCCAAAACATATAAATATCGATACTTTTATTTCGATACCGAGTAGGTATCGATACTTTTGTTCCGATACCGAGTAGGTATTAATACTTTCGTTCGATACAAGTAACGAGTAAAAACCCTGGCGGTATCGATTCATCCCTACCTCTTCCTCTCCCTCTCCCTCTCCACTCCCCAACCCCGTCCCCCTCATTCCGTCTCCACACCCTCTCTCACGTTCCCCTCTCCCTCTTCCCTCTTCCTCCCACTTCCCCTCACTCGCACCCTCTCCCTCTATCACCCTCTCTCTCTCCCTCCCTCTTCCCCTCTTTCTCCCTCTATCCTCTCCTTCTCTTCCCAACTCCCCTCCCATCCTCCCTCTCTCTCTCCTTCACTCTGCTTGTCGTTCCCTCCCCCCTCTCTCTCTTTTCCACCCTCCCTCTCTCTCACTCTCCCTCCGTCCCATCCTCCCTCCTTCCCACTAATTCAAGCGTTCTTTCCATTACACCGATTTTTGAACAATATTTTGTAATGCAACTTCGCGTGACTGTATCTCATTAACTATTGAACCAAATAATTTAAAATTTGCTCCATGTGTTGAGTATTAAGTTGAGAGAGAGAGGGGTGAGGGAGAGAAAGAGAGAGAGATGGTGAAAGGTGGAGTGGGAGAAGGGAGAAGAGGATGGGAGAGCGAAAAGGGAGACTGGGAGAGAGAGAGAAGGGGAGGGGGCGGGGTGGAAGGTATGGTGGGAAAGAGAGGGAGAGTGAGAGGATTCGATGGGGGAATGAGGGCGGGATGGGAGAGGGGAGAGAGAAGAGAGAAAGAACGAAAGAAAATAGAAGGAGGAAGAATGTAATATCGGGTAATAATATTATTCAATATCATTAGATATATTGTTAAAGATTATTAATAAATATTTTTAAATATTTTCAATACTATATATGTTATTTAATTTTAAAAGAGAATGAAAGGGAAAGGGAGAGAGAGAGAGAGAGAAAGAGAGAGAGAGAGAGAGAAAGAAAGAGAGAGAAAGAGAAAGAGAGAGAGAGAGAGAAAAAGAGAGAGATAGAGTAAAACTGCGCGTGGCTCTTTTGCCTTTTTACTCGGATTTTACTTGATTTTAATCGTGTAAGAGCCTTACTTTTATATCTTTTGGAGAAATAAAGTTTAATTTAAAAAATTGGTTCGCTCTGATACTATATTACCTTTACTAAGTATCCGCAAAAAGAAAAAAAAAGTTTCTTTAGTTTTTTTCACCGAAATTTGAAAAAATGCTGCCGGCATTAGCATTATCCAATGTGTATCATGAGGATGTATTAAATATTGTCGGATGTATTAAATATTGTCGGATGTATTAAATATTAAAATATTAATGTATTAAATATTGTCGGATGTATTAAATATTAAAATATAAATGTATTAAATATTGTCGGATGTATTAAATATTAAAATATGGATGTGCAGTGCCAAGTTTTAGATTAAATTTTATTACTCTTAATTATTTTAATTACTGTTGGAAATAATGATTATAGAGTGCTCGTAGTTGTTCTGTAGTATTAGGTTGGCACTAGTGGCGTCTCTAGCAACGTTCACACTTTTTGTTTTTCTTACGTTGGCAAAAGTGCCTTCTTCCGTTGCGTCTGTTCGTCTCCTCGACACGAGTCACGCGAGCTGATATTACAAGTTCATTTTGTACTTTTATAATAAACGCAGTGAACCAGTTAATCAAAGAAACTAAATTGTGTACCATTACTACCACCCGCATCGCACAATTCCATCAGGTTATGGGCCCAGTCACTTGTTTCGGTACTGCACGTCGTGTAAAGGAAAAGTGAACAGGTTCGAATCAAGATGGCCACAGTACATGAGATCCAGAGTATCGAAAAGCTAACTGAAGAGAACTATGAATCATGGAAGATTCAAATGAGAAGCGTACTGGTATGTAACGATTTATGGGGTTACGCGAATGGTACCGCGATAATGACTGAGGAAAATGCAGCGGCCTGGACAGTGAAAGACCAGAAGGCGCTGGCATTAATAGTGTTGAGCATGTCGCGCGGACAATTAAATCACGTAAAAAGAACTGAGACATCAAAGACCGCGTGGGAGAAACTCAAGCGCGTTCACGAATCAAAGGGACCGGTTAGAAAAACCAAGCTCTACAAACAATTATACCGAATGAAAAAAGACTCGGGAATTACCATGAACGCGTATATAAATAATTTTACCAACAAAGCCGAACAGTTGACCGAGGCGGAAATCAAAATACCAGATGATCTTTTGTCGATAATGTTATTATCTTCATTACCCGACGATTTTGAAAACTTTAGCATAGCGATAGAGTCTCGGGACGAAATTCCGGATATCAATAGCCTGAAGGTCAAATTACTGGAAGAAGAAGCGCGCCAAGATGAACGAGCTGGAAGAAACGATACGGGAAAAGGACAGAATAATGACGCATTATTTTCTCGTGCACACGTTCGTGATAAACAAAAACATATAAATTCGGCAGATAAATATACGAAACAAAATCAAAAGAAATTTAGCGGAAAGTGTTTCAATTGCGGTAAAATCGGACATAAAAGTGCGGACTGTCGAATAAAAACAAAACACGGTGAAACGAATAGCAGAAATGATGCTATGACCGCTATAGTGTGCAATACTGAAGTGTTGAAATCTAGCGATTGGTTCCTTGATAGCGGCGCGACGCGTCATATCCCTGCCGAAAATGGCCGATTAAAACGGATTTAAAAAAATGTAATCCGAATCGATCGGGATTTCTGCACCGAAAATGCGGTATTAAAACCGATTGAAAATAGTCAAATCGAATTTAGTACGCTTCAGGCGAGGTTAATGTTGGAGGATATATGATATCTCCATCTCAATGCAAAATTATATGATTTCATAAAATTATAATTAAACCTGTTTTAATGCAATTGAATTGGAATTTTATGTGTAATGATTATCGAAAATTTACGGTATTAAACGATACAGAACAATTGAAAGTGTTTACAGCAGCGGAACATTGTTTAGATTCGTCAAGCACGGGCGAAATTAATTTAGAAGTGAAAAATCGTGGTTCAAAAAACACCGTAAATCTAAAAGACGCAATGTTAATTCCCGCGTTAAGAAATAATCTAATGTCAGTTTCTATGATCACAGACAATGGATACACGGTAGTATTTGATAAAAATAGTGCAACGATAAAACGCAGAAACGGATCCACAGCTTTAACAGCAACGAAGAGGAATCAACTCTACGTAGTAAACGAAACGAAAAATCACGCGATGGCTGTTCACAAAATCAACGACGATAAATTGACTCGTTGGCATCAAAGGTATGGACATTTAAATGTTGCAGATTTGAAAAAGTTAAAAATAAAAGAGATGGTTAAAGGTGTTGAATTTACAACAAAAACTGACGGGTTTCGATGTGAGATCTGTGATCAAAATAAGCTGCATATTCAACCGTTTAAGCCGACAAAAAACAGAGAGACCGAGGTACTGAATTTGGTACACTCTGATATTTGCGGTCCGATGAATGTTGAATCATTAAGAGGATCGAGGTATTTCGTTACATTTATTGATGATTACTCAAGATATACCGAAACTATCATGCTCCACAAACGATCTGATGTTTTGAAGGCTTTCAGAAATTACAAAAGAAGAGTGGAAAACCAAACAGGATAACGTATCAAGAAATTACGCACGGACAATGGGAAACAATATTTGTCCAATGATTTCAAAAGATTTTTGGGGGATGAAGGCATCGCTCGGTAACTATCAGTGGAATATACACCGCAACAGAACGGTGTTGCAGAACGCGCAAATAGGACGATTGTCGAAATGGCAAGAAGCATGCTGCAACAATCTGGATTACCGCAATCCCTGTGGGCCGAAGCAGTGAATACGGCAACATTCATAAGAAACAGATGTCCTACAAAATGCTTAAATGATAAAACTCCGATTGAAGCGTGGACGAATAAGAAACCTTATGTGGGCTTCTTTCGCATTTTTGGAAGCAAGGTCATCGCATTAAATAAAGGTCCTAAACGCGGAAAGTTCTTCCGAAAGGGAGATGAATATGTCTTAGTCGGATATTCAGATGAAGCTAAAGCATACAGATTATGGAAGCCAAAAACGAAAACTGTAATAAAATTACGCGACGTTAAATTTTACGAGAAGCTTCATACAAGCAACTATGATTGGGATGATCTAATTAAAAATGACTCGAATAACAATTTGAATGAAAAATGAACGCTGAAAATTAAATCGATGCCATTATTAACGGATCTTCAAGACTCGGAAGCTTATGAAGAAATAACAAACGAACATGATCAACAACTCGAAGATAACGATTCAAAAGATGAAGTCGATGAAGTTCCAGAAGAAAGAGAGGAAAATGAAAATAACGATTTACAACGAGGTTGTGAACGTCCTAAATTATTGAAAACCGGTCAACGAGGAAGACCTAAGAAAATGTATCAAAAGCGCAATGATGCTAATCATAATCCCATGGATGTAGCTGAAGCTATGAATCGAAGCGGTCGAT